CTTACTTACGCATTACAAACTAACCAACATAGAATTTATATTTTATATTAAGAAAATTTTACAAAATTCAAGGCTTAAAAATACCAAAATAAATACCAAAGCAAGGTATATAAATGTGAAATAAATGGAAAATGAAAATATAACCACGAGAGATGAATAAGGAACACGATTTGAGGCAATGGAGAGCAAAAAGCAGTTGGAATTTAGGCTAAGTTACATAGAATACATACGTAAAATACACAACTCTTAAATCGCTTAAATCATAAAAAAAACTATAAAGGAACAGATAAATCACAGAAAATCATGTTTGGCAAATAGAAAGAGATATAGATTTAGATACAGACTTAGAGAGCTTGGGCTAGAGATAAACATAGACAAGAGGCAATATACAATATATTTATTTATATATATGTAGATACTGAGATAAGGCTTAGACTTAGATACATGGAGTACATACTGATACGAGGCGAGCTTAGCAATGTGCGTGTGTGTGTGTGTGTGGGTGCTCTATGTGAGTGTGCGAGTGTGTGTGAGTGTTGGAGTGTATGTGTTAAACATTTCTAGTTGAAAAGAATTAAACGAAAAAGAGGCAAATTGTAACTGTACCTTGTTAGGTGCCGTTTGCAGACCATGAAACGGTAGATTCTCATACTCGCCAGGTTCCGTCAATGGATCCCCCAGTGAAGACGACTTGTCGTGTACTATATAGTAGTATATACGTATACGGATCGGTTGATTTTTGTTTTTTTTTTTATTTTTTATGGCGATTGGCATTTGGGAAGTTTTAACAATTTGTGTTTAAATTGTTTTTATTTTGTATTTTTTCAAAAGAAAAATTGTAAGAAAATAATTGGAAAAAGAAGAAAAATATTGAATTAGTCAATTATAAAATAAAAATGTATTTGGTTTTACTAAAAATTAAGCCTAAGCTTCTGCATTTTTATTGTGTGAGAAAACACCTAAGCTAGAGTTTTTTTTTCTATTGTGTTTTCGAATAAATTGTATAACCTAACGAAATAAAAGAGCTTCAAACATAATATTTCACTTTTTATATTACAATTTTAAATTTTTAAAATTTCTTTTCGTTATATTTGAATGACATGCAATAATTTGGTAACACAGAGCAGGCCAAGGACAATTCACAAGCAGGCAACATGAAAACAACATTGAATAAAGTGCAAGCCGAAACAGTTAAAGAAAATCAAATGTTTATAAATACATGATAAATGTTAACAATGACAAGTCTTTGTTGTTGTTGTTGTTGATATTGTTGTGGTATATTTAGCTTTTGTATTTAATTTTTGATGGTTCTGCTTATGGAAATTCTCTTACTTGATTTTATATATTTCTTTTTTATATAAGGACCTCCTCGCTTGATTCATTGAAATAAATTACTTACAGCGATTATGATATACAGAGAGTTTTAAGTTTAGTTAAATGAATAATCAAAAATAAACAAAGAAAAAATACTTGAGTTGAGAGTGGGAACTGCGTGTGTGATATGTAGAGAGCTGGGGATAGATGAGATGAGCTGCGCTTATGGATGAGCATTGCGGTGGAGAGTAGATTACGGAAGACTTTTATAAAGAGTTGAGTGTGTATATGAATATATGAGTGAGAATAAATAAGCACAGTAAATAGATTTTGAAGTTATGTTTCATCGAGAGTTTCAATTGCTTGCCAGAAGTTGAGTCTAAGTCTTCTGGTATGATAAATCATGTAAGGCCTCAGCTTTGACTTGAAATTTGCAACTCAGCAATTTCAATGAATTTTTTTTTTTGGAATTCATAAAGTGTATTCGGTTTTTTTGGCAAGTCAGGTTTGGCTAATAAAAGCAATATGTATATGAGAAATTTACTTTGAGATATTTTTGTAATGGGAGGACAGGCGGCGAGGCCTACAAATTCAATTGAGTGTGCAGATGAGTGTTTTATGAGCTATATGAGTGTATGAGATGACTTGTGGGTTTGTTCTTACTTTGGACGCGTTCGACTTTGCTGGGGGAAACCACAACTGTGCGTTTCAGCAGGGGCGGGCAATTGCCGCCGCTGAACAGCTGCTGCTGCTGCTGTTGCTGCTGTTGCTGCTGTTGCTGCTGCTGCTGTTGCTGTTGTCCAGGGCCAGGGCGCACTGGCAATATGGGCGGCGGTGGGCGTGGTGGTGGCGTTGATCTGGGGGACTTCAATATGCCGTGGCGCTGCGGTTGCGCCAAGCAGCTCACACCAAGCCCAGCGTGGGCTATTGTTGCTGTTGCTGTTGCTGTCGTTGATGTTGCTGTTGCTGTGGTGTCTGCTGGCGACGTCTTGTCTAATGAAGGCGCTTGAAATGTCACAGAGGCATGTGATTGGACACTGCTGGAATTGTTTGTTGTCGTTGCCGTTGTGGTTGTCGTTGTTGCAGCTGCAGTTGTTGTTGTTGTTGTTGTTGATGTTGTTGAATTAGTTGCTGTTGCTGTGGGCGTCTTTTTGTAGGTGACTAGCGATACGTGAAGATACATGTACGTGTGCGTGTGCGTATGTGAGTGTGTGTGTGTGTGATGCGCAATGCAATACAACATAAAAAGCAAATGATAAATAATAAGAAAAGAAAATAAAGAATTAGCCATGAGAGTGGAAATTGTCGCGCGTGTCGCATTTATTACCACTGCCGCTGGAGCGTATGCCCTTAAGGCGATGCTGAGCTGCGAATGGTGATTCCTGATTGCCACGCCCACGCCAAAATGTGTGCAACAGACCCACGTGACTGCGCTGGCTATCCCGGGTGCCATCGTCCGAATTTCCGCCTCGCTTGGCGCGCTTGAAAACAAACTTCCAAATGCGTTGCATATGACTGGGAGCAGCAACTGCTGCTGCTGCGTTGGAATTCTCTAGGCAGGCTGCAAGCTCTGGGTGCGGCTCAGCTGCATCTGTCGATGGCAAGGCAATGTCAGTGGAATTAGTGTTCATCTGACTAGGCTGTACAATAGATGTTGCTGCTGCTGCTGCTGCTGGTGGTGGCTCCATCACCGACACCGACACCTCGGTTAGCATTGTGCTATTTGAGTTAGTCTGGCTATCGTTCAGCACGGCACTCAGCTGGGCCGACAATTGACTCGCATTCGCAGCGGGATTTGGCAGCGAGTTCGGATTCTGATTCGGATTCGGTTTCAGTGTCATGCGATTCACGGCTAGATTCTCTTTGGTGTCGCTGCTCACGTGCAACATGACACCTGGCCGCAATGGCCAGCGCGGCGGCGATTTCGGTACTGTGGCATGCAACGTGCTATTTCGCGTTATGGGCGGGGGCGTGGCCAGCTCATTGTTGTTCTCGGCTGCGGCGAGCTTTTGTTGATGTTGCTGCTGTAGCTGCTGCTGCTGCTGCTGCTGTTGCTGCTGCTGCAGTTGCTGCTGTTGCGGTGACAGCAGCGTTGCGGGCAACAATGTGGCAGCATCGGTGTCTTGTATGGGCAGGGCCACGCCTACTTGTGGCAGCACTGGCTGATACGATAGCACACTATGTTGTGTGCGTGGGCGTGTGTGTGTGTGTGCGTGTGCATGTGAGTGTGCGTGTGTTGTTGTTGTCGTTGCAGATATTGGACCCGTTCGATAGGCGTGAATTTGTATGAAGCAAGCGAGCAATAAACAAATATCAAAGCACACACAGCGATGCGAATAGGATAATATATATATACATATATAAAGTTTAAGAATTTTATATATATATATATGTGATAAATTGTTGTTGTTGTTGGGTGCGCACAATAAGCAATTGAAATATGCAACGAAAATGAATATGTAAATAAACAAATAAAAAAAATAAATAAATAAATTAAAATTGTGTTAAATATTAGAAAACCTTAAGTAGCATGCATATTTTAAAACTAGAAAAAGTTTAAAAATTTATTCATATTTTTAGTTTAACGTTAAATGTATGAAGTGAAAGTTTCATAAGATTTATTTTTTGAGTTCCAGTTGACTTTCTATTTTCTATTTTCTTTCTTTTGTTTCTTTAAAAAAAGGCTTTATCCCTATGATATTGATTGCTATTAACGACATTTTTATATTATGAACATATTTATTTTGAATAAGAATTTATAATTGTATTTGGAGGCAGCTTTATTATCAGAAAGACGCTGATATATCTGTCAGAGCCGCAAAGCCTGCAGCTATAAAATTAGTACCTTCAGCAGCTTAGATAATTATTCAAATAAAATCATTAGAGATTTTAAGCTGAAATATCTTCTAAAAAATTTCCGTCTATGCGGAATAAATTATTTTTCACTTTGTTGATTTTTATAGATTTTAAAAATATTTTTTAGCTGCTTTCAAGAAATAAAAAAAAATAAATAAATGTAAGCATAACTATTTTGCAGGTATTCTGCATACATTTTATGGAATTTTTAAATAAATACTTTTAGCATCTATGTAAGAAATTTAACGAATAAAATTGCCTTTTGCTTTCCTATGTTTTTTTTTGTTATTAAAAACATTTTAGAGTCATTTATTTTGCTCAAAAAATCATCGATTTATGTAAAAGTCTTTCAGTTATATTTGGCAGATTTTACTCTGAAATATTTAAATTATTTTTAAATAAAGATATTTTAATTTTTTTTTATGTTTTCAATTCCATTTATATAAATATCTCTAAAATTTTAATAACTTTCAAGCTTCAAAGTGTATGACAAATTTTTTTAAAATAAAAAAACAAAACAATTGAAAACAATGAAACGTAAACAGAAAACAGCAATTTGTACAGTTATTCTCAAGAGTTACTCGAATACAATAATAATTCAGGTGAATCGAATGCGGCACTTACCTTTGATTAGCGCTTATGGAAACTTCCGTGTGATCTTTACCAAATGAATTCAAATCAAATGACATTTTGTTGTTTGTTGTTGTTGTTGTAATGCAGTTGTGTATGCGTGTGTGTGTTGTTATTGTTGTTGTTGTAGCACAATTTGTTGAGTTGTTGGCGCATTGAGTTTGACAAGCAGCGTTTAAATGTATTGTGGTTGTTTGTTGTTGTTGTTGTTGTGGTTGTTCAAGCGAGCAATTATTAAGTGAAGCAGCATAGAGACAACAATACATACATACGCGTGTATATATATATGTATGTATGTTTGTATAGATAATGTACATGTAAGTGTATGAGTCAGATAGATAGATAGATTGTTAAGCAATAATTGTTTGAAACGAGATGACAAGCAAAAAAAAAAATTAAATTAATTAAAAATGTTGCAGCAAACAAAGCAAATATATAAAATGCAGACAAACAAAAAAAATGTATATATATGCATATGTATATATGTATAACAGAAAAAAACAACATTCATTCATTTCGCATTGTAGTTGTTGTTGTTGTTGTTGTTGGTTTACGTTGCGGTTGTTAATTAGTTGTATATATATTTTTGTTATTGTTGTGGGTTTTGTAATTAATGTTTGTTTTATTTTTTTTCGTCGTCGTTGTTGTTGTTAGAGTAGTCAACAGTGGTGCGGAATCAAGAAGAATTATTGAGCACACACAAATTCAATAATATATATATACGCGTTTTAATTGAAAAACAAAAAGAAATAATATTTAAAATACATAATTATAATTTATATATAATTTTTGTTTTGTTTGTAAAGGACTTTTT